GCCCCCCCAAACTAAAATAGAAAGATGCAAGCAAGTAGAAAATGTGCTCAGGATGAACGTGCCCAGAAATCTAGCTCCCTTCTAAATCCATGAGAGCAAGAACAGTATGTTAAAGACTACAATGGTGCATAGTTTTTGAAAGAGTGAATTGTACCCTTGGCAGAGCTAATTGCACCAACTTTTGCTTGCCTTATTTCTATTAAAAGCTACAAGGCTCTAAGCAAGAAGAGGTTGCTGTCTGTCATAACTAAACAATATGAACGTTTGTGAGGAAAAAGACAACTGGCCAGAAATGGCATTCACACACTTTAAAAGGCCGTGAACCCTGTATCATTATGATGCATTGGAGGAAGGATACCTTAATTTTCTCTTTAGATTGGCATACACAAAATGGCAAAGGTGCAGGCAGACATCTTAGACTGCAAAAAAGGTGTTTCTTTTCTTAAACTCCTGGTGATGTACAGAGCACAGGCTTGATATTTTAAATGAATTTATGACTTAGCTCCATGACAGGATCCAGAGATCATAAGCCTATAGATTTGCAGCTGTAATTTCTAGTGGCTAAACTCCATTCAGAGAAAGTTAAAATACATTAGACTGTTTCGTAATATCATTTGTAGGAAAGTGGTGAAGGCACCACTGGCTTTCTATCAGCTCATAAAATGCAAAATCAGTGCACGATAGAGCTGTAACAGTGAATGACTTGAGATGCCTATTTTGGCAAAATGTCACCTGCATTATGATAAAGTGATTCTCCCCTCCCCTAAGCATTTCCTGAAATCCATGAAAAGCTGTCTTAGAAAACCAGCTGAACCAAATCACTTCAAAGAAGGCCCAGAGTCTTTCACAGAAATATACTCTATCATAATAGATCTACAGTGCTTACAGTAACTGTAAGCAGTAAATGAAGTAATCTTTAGAGTTTGGAAGATAAAAGATCTCTCTGTCTACTGTAATTCACATTCCTTTTAAAGCTAAAGCCACTTCTAGAAAACACTGAGTGTATATGTGTTATATAGTGTTCCTTACTGAATAGTTTAATATTTACTCTACAAAATCAGCTCTTACATCATTGGTGTTTCTTTGGAATAGACAAGTTTCCTCCTCAAATATCACTCACAGTGCATTGGATGTTGTGAAAAAGAGAAAAAGAACGAACATACAGGCAGTATCATGTAACCCTTTACTGTGCTGCTTTCCTAAAAATGTTCTTTGGAGCGGTCCTGCCTAGCAGTCTCCCATTCCCTTGCCAGCCATCCCTGGGCTGAGATTAGCAGACAGCATTTCTGCTTAATTTAATGCTGGACTGACTTAGTTGCCGAATGATGCATTTTCCCACAGCAGATATAAGAGCAGAGCAAAGCAACTGCCTGAATGTGAATAACTTTAAGAAGTTAATTTGGGAAAAAAAAAAAGTCTGCCAAAATAGTTTGCTGTCAGCAGAGATTGTTATCCCTTTCCTTGTCCTCTTTTAACCCTTCAGGCCCCAAACTAATGACTTGCCTTGCTATATAAGTAAGTGCCTACATGACAGCACTAGTGGTAGAACAAGCAAAGCATAGCTTAGAAGGTTCTCCACTACCCTTGATAAAAACAAACCAGACTAGACCTGGATAGACAGTAAGGGGCTTCCCACTGAGAGGCATGGAATGAAAAGCTTTAGTGACGGAGCCCATGTAGTTTTCTTCCTGTCAGAAACAAATGTGCTTTCTTTCTCCCTTTATTGCTTTAGAGTAAGTAAGTTTAGTAGAAATTATCTGTATCCTCCCACATGAAATGCCCAAATCCTTCATTTTGTCTTTACTATGAAACACAAATGTGGAATAGCTCAGAAAAAAATATAATCAAAACTATAAATAAGGACAAGAAGGTCAGAATTGTATGAAAGGTCTCTTAAGGAAAGAGGAGACAAAGTGAGCTTGTATTTTTAAACTATGTATCTTTTCACCTGCCTTATTTCCAGCACGCCTTCCTTTCCTTCTCCCTTTCCTTCTCCCTTTCTCTCTCTCTCCCCCCAGCGTACAATACAGTGGCCAAGCAGATCCTTTCTAGCAGGTATACATAGGTTGCTCCAAAAAACTAAGAAATCCTAACCAGAGTTTGTGTGTTCACAATGTCACTCTTGAGTTGTCCTCTTTAAGAGCTAATGAAGGGCTCTCTAAAATGCCTGCTTACCTGTGTGCACTGATTTAAGGACTTTGTCACATCTAAGGGGCATTGTAGGAGTCTCCTGAAGATTTCTGTAGTAATTCCAGCTGTCAAATCTGTCATCCTCTGTTTAATAAAGTACCAGCAAGGTCAAATAGGGAATTTGCTGTATTTTCCACCTAAAGCAAAGGAAACACCTAACAGTGAGTGATTTTAATCCTCCCTGCTAAGCAGTATGGGAAGAGTGGTGTTTCCAGTCCCTCCCCCTCTTGCCCAGCTCTTTCCCCTGACCTTTTCACTCCTGGCTGTGGCTGGAAAGTGAAGTAAACAGTCAATTTGGTAAAGGACTACGGAAGAATTTGAGCCATGCTCAGGAGCAGAGCAAAGACGCGTTTTCTGAAGAGACTGCAATATTTACAGTTAGTGGGGAAGGGTCAGCTTTGTCACCTGTGAGGACCCTGGGGGTTTCTGTGCCACAGAGCAGAGGGGCTGGAACTGTGCAGCAGGGTCTTGCTGGGACATCCCCCCAGCCCTGCACCAGTGCATGCTCCTGTGACTGTACAGGCAGCAAGACAGAGGCTTCTTTGCTTTTTAAAGACTGAAACACATTTGCTTTCAGAGTAGGTTAGTTTACATACCATGCTGCAGCTGTAAAACACTTGCTAATGAACAGAGCTAATTAATAGAACTGTAGGTGTTCAGAGAACCTGGTTAATTTAGCTGTGAAGAGTTATTGAATGCTCAGTTAGGAGCCTCTTGAATGACAAGCATAACCTTAGCCACTGCGAAGCTGTGGTCACACTAATTCTGTGGTGATTGAAGTCATTTACAAGAAGTGAGGCTTCAGCTGCAGTCAGCACTGATGCTATTTTCAACAGTCAAGAAAAAAGCGTCCCCTAGGGCAACACGCTGACCGTATCTAGCCATCAATACTCTTCACCCAGTTTGTATTTAATCCTCTATTGAACAGTGTATCCACCTCCTGAACCTTCTCTTTCAGATTCAGTGTCAGTGCTTTCTGTTGTCGCGGGCGGTCATTCAGTCCCTGGCTCTCCTTCCACCCCTCCATTCATGGTGCTGACAGCTGTGTGAGCAATGCATTTATTCATTAATTCCAGCTTTGAGACAAAGGGTGTGTAACAGTGACTTAATTTGGACTCTACATTGCTTTCTGTGCAGTCAAAGTATAAGCTAACAACTGCATGTGCAGTAGGTTTCCAGGTTGTTTCTCCCAATTGCAAAGTGCCGTTGAAGACTTTTCATTGCCACTGACTTGTCTGCTGTCATACTTCTGCACAGTACTCTGATCCTGTCACTGTATCTGACTTTTTTCCTTCACAGCAGTTTCCCAACATAGCAGACAAATTTGCTACACCTGGATCCAATTTGTTCTTTATGTCACCATGGAATAACAGAAACACAAGCCAGCAGGGGGTATAAAGCAAGCCCAACTTCTCCCACCCATCCCAACATGTAACCACTGCTCAACTACAGCAAAGCAGCAAAGGCCAGACTCAGAATATAAACTCCTGACAGATGGGTGAGTTAGTCACACACCAAAAGTATTTCCCCTCTGTCTGGACCTCAGTGACATGCTTTGGATGTGGTTATTGAAAACAAGAATGATAGAGATGACGCTTGTGCATAGCAAAGCAATTGCCCTACAGTCTGCAGGTATGAGAAGAGCAGATATTGTGAGGATGGAATAGCAGCCGAACAATAAAGCAACACAAGCCACGTTTAGCTCAGCTTCCTTCATTCTGCTCCTCTCGATAATATTAGCAAGGCAAGTAGGATCACCTTTCTGTTGTCATTTTAATCTTCCTCCGTTAAGAAAAAAAAGGAGGGTAATTGAAGTAGGTGACCCCCTTCTGAGGGGTACAGAGGGCCCAATATGCCGACTGGACCCAACCCACAGGGAAGGCTGCTGCCTCCCTGGGGCCCGGGTGAGAGATGTCACCAGGAAACTCCCTGGTCTGGTGTGGCCCACCGATTACTACCCGCTGTTGGTCCTACAGGTTGGCAACGACGAGGTTGTGCTAAGAAGCCCAAAAGCGATTGAAAGGGACTTCAGAGCGCTGGGGCGACTGGTCGATGGAGCAGGAGCACAGGTAGTGTTTTCGTCAATCCCTTCAGTGGCAGGGAGGAATGCTGAAAGGAACAGGAAAGCACACCTGGTTAACATGTGGCTCAGGGGCTGGTGCCGTCGGCAGAATTTTGGTTTTTTTGACCATGGGGTGGTTTACACAGCACTGGGCCTCCTGGCAGCAGATGGAGTGCAACTGTCTCCAAGGGGGAAAAGGATTCTTGCTTACGAGTCGGCGGGCCTCATCGAGAGGGCTTTAAACTGGATTCGAAGGGGAAAGGGGGTAAAACCAAGCTCACTAGAGATGAGCCTAGGGGTGGCATGCTGGTGTTGGGGGTGAAATCGATAGCTCAGCTCCAGTTTGTCTACACTAATGTACGTACGCAGCATGGGCAGCAAACAGGAGGAGCTGGAAGCCATTTGCAGCAGGACAGCTACGACTTAGTCACCATCACAGAAACATGGTGGGATGACTCTCATGGCTGGAGTGCTGCACCAGATGGCTATAAGCTCTTCAGAAGGGATAGGCGTGGAAGGAGAGGCGGTGGGGTGG